GGTTGTGCGGGTGTGTGTCCCTTTCACATTGATGTTTCTCTCTCCCTCTCCCTCTCCCTCTCCCTCTCCCTCTCCCTCTCCCTTTCTCTCTCTCTCTCGCCTCCTCCCTCTCTCCCTCCCACTCTATCTGAACAACAACAACAAAAAACACTCAAGATGCCGCCCTGGCAGGTTTGGCTCACTGGTTAGAGTGTCGGCCTGTGGACCAGAGAGACCCAGGTTCAGTTCCTGCTAAGGGCATGTACCTGATTATACACCAGTTAATACAATAAGAAATTACTATAGCACTAATCTCATCAGTTATAGACAATTTACAATCACAGGGACACCATTAGAATGCACCAGGAGCTTTGAATATAATACTATTCTAGTGAAAAAAAATTACAGAGGAGAAAACAATCCTAATTAGGCCTGGAAGGACACCTAAATGAGCATCTCCAGACAAATACCACACTAATCCATTGTGTGAAATAAAACACTTCACTGACAGAAAGAAAATGAAAGTCATCAGCTTCTCTGCTTTGTAGTGTAAGGGCATGTAAGGTATTATCTGCCTTGAATATCCAAGAAAGAGATAAATCGAGGAACTGAAAAACATGCCTTTGGGAATGAGCCACATGGTATAGTACAATGTTTTCCAAAGTGTCATCCAGTGTACATGAGATTATTTTTTTTTATGAGGATATGAATAAAGTGTGTGTGTTTGTATAATCTTCTATTTATAGCTAGTGATATTGATTTTTATCTCCTGGTAGCAATTTAATTTTTGGCTTACAATATATGTATCTAATATAAAAAGTGATTCTATTTAAAGAAGCAAGTAGATCCCCTTCATCAACTCCATGCCATTTTGGTGAAAGTTTGGAGGTTTATGTTTTAATTTAATCTCTGCACTGAGGAAGATCAAGCACAAGTGATGCTGATATCAAAAAAGAAGGAATAAGTGAATTAATACAAAAAATACCCAACTGTCCTCCCCTACTCAACTCCTAGGAGCCAAGTATTCATCCGCTAGGCAGGAAGCTAGAGAAGTCTTTAAAAATATGACCAGCCCAAGAGGAAAAACAATGATACTAAACATCAGAGGGTCCTCAGTTAAAAAGCCCAGAAGATGAAGTCAACAAGATCTACTCATGCATTCAAACCAGCTTTTTAGCCTCAGAATTTTAAATATAAATAAACATCCAAAGATTATCAAGCATCTGAGAAAAGCTTCTAAAATAAATGACAAAGACCAAAAAAAAACTGTAGCTTGAAAGAAACTGGCTATATAAACAGAGAAAAATATCAATAACTTAAGAAATTAATATTTTCATAGAGATAAAAAGATATAATCAAGAAATAAAATATGATGTTATGATAAGGTACAGGAAATTTTTAAAAGCTCTTGAAAATTGCAACTATGATAGGAGAAATGAAAAGCAATAGAAAGGCTGGAAAATGAAAATGAAAAGTAGAATAAGAAAGTCCAAAATGTGAAAAAGGAGAAAGAAGAGAGAAGGGAATCATAAATGAAAAAAATAGGAGAAAAAGTTCCAGAACTGAAGAGCATGCATGTTCAGATTGAAAAGGACCACCAAGGTTCCAGCACAGTGTATGAAAATGGGCCCACATCAAGACACAATATGATATATTTCAAGAAACTGAAATTTAAAACATTCTGTAAACTTTCAGAGAGAAAAATGAATCACAAAAGATCAGAAGTCAGATGGTGTTTGACTTTCCCATAGCAACACTGCAAACCACAAGATAATGGAACAATCCTTTAAAAATTCTAAAATTATTTCCAAACCAAAACTCTGTACCCATTCAACTACCAAACAACTGATAAATAAATTCTTCCTCAGACACAGGATTCAACCATCTACTATTCCTTAGGGAATTACTGGAAGTCGTGCTCAAGCAAATCAAGAAAGAATTTAAGACACTGATCCAAGGAACAGGAAAGCCAACATAAGAAAACCCCAGGATTATAGTAGCTAAAGGTAATCCCAGAAAGGGGGCTGAGCAAAGGGCATCGAATCTAGACGGGAGCAGGTCAGAATGCTCTTACAGCCTTCTATAAGAAAACATCTGATCAAGGTACTTTTACACAATGGGAATACTACTCTGCCATAAAAAGGAAGAACACTTTACCCTTTGCGACATCATGAATGGGCCTCGGGAACATTATGCTAAGTGAAATAAACCAGTCAGAGAAAGACAAGTACCATGTGATTTCACTCATATGTGGAATTTAATGAAGAAATTTAAGTACCAACCAAAATAGAGACAGACTCTTAGAGAGAAGGCAGAGAGCTCTGGTGCTGGGGGTGGGGTGGGGGTGGGGTGGAAGGATTGAGCTAAAAAGAGTTAACTCATTGACATGGACAGCAGTCCTGCTTGCAGGGGTGGAAGTGGAAGAGGGCATAGAGGGGATAAATGGTGATGGAAAAAATAAAACACAATAAAATGAATGTTAAAAAGAAAAGAACAGAGAGAAAAACAAAAAACCCCTGATCATTAAATCCAGTAAGTAAGATTTGTAGGAAAGGAAGATGAACACAGCTGACTACATGGCTAGATTTAAATAGCATTCATACATATCATGGGAATATAAGCACTAAGTAATTGTCTACCAGAATTATTATTTACTCTTGTGTTGAAACATATGAAATGGTGTGTTGTTTTCATAGATCAAAAAATGCATATTGTTAACCTAGTATAATAGGAGCATAAGAAAATGGAACAGTAAAATAAGTACTATTTTTGAAAACATGGAGATAAATATTAAAATAATAGGTAGAAAGAGGTAAAAGTAGCTGCCTCTGAGGAGAGGTTCATGGGATAAAAGGAAGGTTGAGGACTGCTTTTTTTTAAATAACAAACTTACTGAACTATTTGACTCTTTACACTATTATATAAAACCTGTAATAATCGTCTGATAATATCTAAATTCAAAAAATTATTTTTAAAAAAAGAGGAAATATAGAGGGAGAAAGAAATGAGTCCAGGAGAGAGGGGCAGATACAGGTCCCACAGACAATGAAATGAGTCATGAGGGCACTTCCTGGAGTTAGGAACATGACATCCACATTACTGTTAGAGATAGGCATTTCTAAGGCTATTTTTCTCCCACAAATGAGACAAAAACCCAACCAAAGTGAGTGTAATTTTTCAACATTTGCTTAATATTGATAGATTATCTTTTTAAAATTATATAAAAACACTGTCCTAATTTTTCTTCACTTGCTCTTTGTATGATATGTCGTAAGCTACACTTTTCTGAATAATGTTCAGTCTTGAAATTGGTGATGACATCAATAATACCACAGGTTTTAAAACACCATTTGGGAAAACTAATTTTTAAAAATTTTTTGTTAATCCTCAACTGGGGATATTTTTCCATTGATTTTTACATACAGGAGGAGGAAGGGAGGGAGGGAGGCAGGGAGAGAGAGAGAGAGAGAGAGAGACATCAATGTGAGATGAGACACATCAATTGGTTGCCTCCCCCATGACCCTGATCAGGGCCAGAGATCAAACCTGCAACCCAGGTACATGCCCTTGACCAGAAATTGAACCCACAACTCTATGGTACACGGGCCAACGCTCTACCTGCTGAGCCAAACCAGCAAGGGCAGAGAGACTCCTTTTTTTGTTTAATTTTTTTCTTTATTGAATTTAGAGAGAGGAAGGGAGAAGGGGAGAGAGAGAGAAACATCGATGAGAGAGAACATCGATTGGCCACCTCCTACATGCCCCCAACTAGGGAATGGGCCCACAACCTGGGGATGTGCCCTGATGAGGAATCGAAATGATGACCTCTTTTTGCATGGATCTACGCTCAATCACTGAGCCACACAGCCAGGGCAGACTAATTTTTTTAATGGTAAAAAAATAAAGAACAGAAGGATAAGAGACACAATTAATAGATCAAAACATATGAAACTGCTGTTTTAATAGATCACAATTACACATAGTTCAACCAATACACTGTAAGTGTACAAAGATCAGAAAGGGGAGTGTGCTAAAATTAAAAAAAAAAAGACTTCAGATGTCTATTTACCCTGAGACTCAAAGACCCTTCGTGATTCTAGCCCTCTCCCTGCCAAGCCCACTTTTATCTCCTGAAAAGAATATAACCTTGACTCCCTCTATCATTTAGGAAAAGAAATCCCTCTCCCTAACTACTTATTTATAATTGTAAGAGCAACATGTGCTAAAGATTCCCCTTGATACTAAGAAATTACAGGCAAATCTCAAATTTCAAAATACTTTATGACATGATCTTTCTCACTTATTTTCTCGCCACCCTTTAGAAGAAATGACAGGCCAATCACAACCCACATGCAGAACTATTAGCTGGCACGAAGAGCACTATTTTGTCAGTATCTTTCCAAAACAAGCCAAGTGTCGAGTATGAATAAGCCCTGTAGTAAGCATGTGAGGAGGAATTCATTCTCAGTTTTTTAAATGGAATGAATCAGATCTCCAGATCTTTAAGATAATTTCATTTTCATCAAACTGTATTTATCAGTCACCCAGGCACTTTCTAAAATATTGCAAAGGCAAAAATCTCTACCTGTAAGGTACATCCATCTTCTCCTTTATTAAGTACTGCTGTGAGCCAATTATATAAAAATATGATTGCTGACATTTCAATATGAAAAAAATAGGAAGTTGTGATAGAGAACAGGGAGCAGACAAGAGGAGGTTAAAACCTACTTAGGATGGTCAAGTCAGAAACAAATGTTCTCTTTAAGAGTTAAGAGTCCCTTTCAGAATAGGAATACTAGTTTGAGTATTTACCTTTGTATCCAGTCCAGCACAAAAAGAACCAAGAATATCCAGAAAGTGCTCAAGAAATATTTGCTGAGTTAATCTATGAAATGAACTAGGCCTATCTCAGCACCCATCGTGCCAGAAAGTATAACACTAATCATCTTTGCACACAGCTGTGTTGAAGAGTCTGCATAATGAAAGGCACAGTATCTTCTCTGAAAACAGCAGCTCCTTACCTGTTGTTGTACTGGTACTTGCTGTACCACCTGTGTAGGCACTGCTGCTTGACTAGCCACAGATGTCTGTAAAGTCACTGTCGAACCTGTGTCCGACCCAGTCTCTGATGTCTGCATGATGGTCTCTGAAATATATTAAAATAGAAATAGACTTTAAAATGCTCCCCTTGCATGACTGGCACCATTACATTTGTTCTCAATATCCTATATAGAGACTAACTTGCAACGCTCAGAATACTTCTTACCCCAACATACTGCCATGATATTCCATGCATATTTATAAGTATTTTGACCACTTTTTAAATAAATAGAGAAAATTACTAATCCACATTTTTGAAAATCCCCAATAGTACCACTTATTATCTTGAGGTTATAAAGGTTATACTTCATGGAAATCTACCTTCCTTAGTTAGGTCTCATCTGCTATGAATTGTCTCAACTATTTATAAACTATAGCCCAAAATTATGTCAAGATACTCAATTCTCAGAATACAAATCTTAACTGTATGCAAATATGGCATAAACCATTCTTTCTAGATACTTTTATAGACTATTAGGATGTCACCAGAGGTGTAAAATTTAGGGAAAATCATTTCTAAGGTCCCCTCCAACTTTCCAACTTGCTATATTTACTGCTCTAAAAAAATTAGTATGTATCCAAAAACCAACTGATATACCCTAAACTCAGCCAAGGGATCAAGCTCACTAATTGTTCACTCTGTGATATGACATGGTACTAAAATCAAAGTTCAATTATATTCTTACACAACGATAGCCAAACATCAATAATGTTTAATATTTTGAAAGATGGGTAAGACCACTATTATATAAATGAGATTTGTAAATAAAGACATGAAATATTACCTTTTGTCATTCACAATTCAAAACAGCACATTTTTCAGTTCTCATGTGCCTGACCTACTAACACAGGATTAAATTTTGCAGCAGGTACTCTAACAAGTGTGGTTTCTCAGACCTCCTGGCCTTGACATTCTCTTGTGCTACTTTATATTCAACAGAATAAATATTAAATCCTTTGCTATTGAGCAGGGATAAGAATTTTAATTTTCTTTCCATGGGGGGTGGGGACAATATTTAATTGATAGCCTAAGAAAAGCACCGCATTATGGTTTAAACCTGTGAAAATGGTGAACATTAATTTTCCCTAAGAAAATTCTGAAAGTATGTTCAGTTCTTTCAAGTAGAAAATTAACCCCTCTCAGCATCTTTTGTTACATCATGACCTCTTGCAATTCCCCCCGAAACCTTTTCTATCATCTCATTCAGTTTTACAAATGGACCTCTGAGGACACCTAATCTACTTTTCTTATTTTATAAATGAAGAAACTAAAGCCCAAAGAAGTTAAGAGACTTGCTCAAGGTGACAGGAATAGACTTGGGATTTGGCCTATTCAATTTGAATCTGCGCTTATTTTTCTTTCTAGACCTTGACATTGGCATCACTTTAGGTGATTATTCTTATTCTTTTGTTGGTCAAAACCCTAAGCAGCACAATAAACCTTAGCACATACAAAAGATAAAGCAGTAACTGCTAACACTGATTGTTTAACATATGCTAAGGACGGACTCCTCTAAATACTTTACATGTTAATTCATAAACGAATTAACCCATGTAACAATCTAATATTGCTGGTATGATTATAATCTCCACTTGCAGATGAGGAACCTCAGGCTCAAGGAGTGAATGTCCCTAGGGGTTTCAACAGAAGGAATGTGATGGAGACTATGGCTACCACCCATTTATTTGGGTCAGCTAATGTTAAGCTCCAAAAAAATGAGTTAGTGGGAAGACTAAACTATAGCTGCTAGGTCTTCCAACTTTCCAAAAGAAGCTAAAAGTTCAGATTTTTATATGAAATATTTCAAATGGTGGCTCATTAACAAAATAAAATGTAGCATTGATCTCCATGCACATGCACACACATGAATGTGTGTGTACGCATACATGCACACACACCTTTGTATAGCATTAAGACCATGGATATGCCTGTAAATATTTGAGAATGACAGTTTCACTACATAAACCTCTTGCCCAATTAAGATTACTGAAAGACCATGGTTCTCAAAATTTGGGGGAACGGATACAAAAATTAGGAGCCCTTTCTGTACCTCTGCTTTTTTTTTAATTCTCACTGAAGATATTTTTCCATTATCTTCAGTCAGAGTTGGAGGGAGGGAGGGGAAGAGAGAGAAGGAGAGAGAGGGAGAGAAAAAAAGAGAAAGAAAAACATCAATGTGAGAGAGACACACGGACTGGCTGCCTCCCACAGGACCCCAACCAGGGCTGGGGACCAAACTGCAACCGAGGTATGTGCCCTTGACCAGAGCTGAACCCACCCACGACTCTTTGGTCCACAGGCTGATGCTCTAACTGCTGAGCCAAACTGGCCAGGGCTGTGCTGCTTCTTCTTATTCCACCACAGTGGAAAAAATAACCCCGTCAAAAAATCAAAAGCCAGCATCCTTTGATTCATCACATACTTATAGACTACTGATGCAATCTGTGCTACAGCAGAGGAACTATTAGTGAATAGTAGGGAATGAGGAATGAACCAGATGTTAGATAGCATCTTCAGTGAGGCTTTCTTAGCCCATCTTCCCAACTGCAAGATAGGCTGTGGCCTTTGTCAGTGCAGTATACACATGAAGAAGACAGGGGTGTCCATTATGGCTTCTTCAGTAAGCTGTTCAATCAAGGATGGATGAGTTCCTTGCAGTCAAGTAACACTAAAACCCCCTCCTCCTTCTACACAACCATTTCTGGCATATGACCCATGCTTTCATATCCACTGTCTTTAAGAATATAAAGAATGGAGGTCTTTTTTAAAATTAAATGTACTTTTAAAGCAATTCTTACCAATTCTTAATTACCCACGAAAGAGCTTATCAGAAGGGGCATAGATTTGGAAATTGGCATCCTATGGACTATACTGGACTCCACAGGTAGGGTTTTACTCAGAATTACTACAAGTTAAATTTCTCAATTGCCAACATTCAAAAATCAGAAAACTTTGCATTAAAAAAAACAAGAAAGAAAAATCTCTTATTTTTTGAGACGACATGGAGGGAACTGGAGAGTATTATGCTAAGCGAAATAAGCCAATGAGAGAAAGACAAGTATCACATGATCTCACTTTGTGGAATATAATGAACAAAATAAACTGATGAACAGAATAAACCTAGAGACATAGAAAGGAGTCCGGACTGACAGGCCTCAGGAGGAGGGACGAGGGGGAGGGATGAGATAAACCAAAGAACTGATATGCAAATATGAATAACCAATGGACATAGACAACAAACCTGTGGGGGGCGGATCAGGAGGAGGGAGTCTGGGGGAAAAAGCAGAAACATCTGTAATAAAAATTAATAAATTAATAAAAAATAAAGAGAAAAATAGATAAAAACCTAATTTCCAGATTCCCTTGAAAAATCTGGAAATGTAAAATAGGTGAACCTATATTATTTTTTATATGCAAATTATTTAAATGGTGTGACTCATTCACCTGCCCGGCCTATCTAGGCATTTGAATTTATGACACCTTTTGGGGGTCAACAGAAACTTAGTCCTATAAATCCAGACTGAAAATAGAACATTACTTTCTGTGTTTAAGACAATATTGATAACATTTATACAGAAGAAACATACCCAAACTTTGACCACTTTACTAATAGAAATGTGTAACTAGATGATAGGAACTACAATTTTCATCATTTTATAGATGAGTCCACTAAGGCTGCAGAGATGGCAAGTCACTTAACCAAAGTTAAACAACTGGAAGTAGGAAAGGAAGTTTAGGACAAAACACTAAAGCTCATGCACTAAACTACTAGACCAAGTTGGAAGTCCAGAGTTTTACAACAGACATTGCACAGACAGAAGTGAAGTGAGTAAAGAAAAGCAAACTGGTGAACTTTTAGAATAAGAAAGAAAGATAAGGATGCAACTATTCAATAGAAGCGACCTGTACTGAATGGAGTGGGAAAATAAGATGGATAGAAAATGATGTCCTATGTTATTTAACAGTTAAACAGTCATGGAGAACTTTCCATCCATCCTCTGGCTCTTTGTATATACCACATCAAAATTGGCACATAAAGCCCATCCAGGACAACTGAATAATTGGCCCAGGACAACTTCTGTTTACTCTCAGGATACTGTTCATCATCTAATCTCTTTGACTCCTAGATTATATGGTCGTGCCAACTGAAAAGAACTTAAGTCTCTCAGTTCTGTCTCCATTTTTCCTTAATAAACACAACTTCATTCTCCTCCAATTTCATTGTCTTCCTAAAATTTAAGAAAGAGGCTCTTTTTGCCAAAGCCTCATGCCTTGAGAGGGTCATACTCACATCCCTTCCAGAGATAGCCTCAAAATGCCCTATCCATATTTAGTTCTCTCATTTAACAAGTCTTTTCCAGTAACCACTCAATTTATTAAGTGCTTGAAGTTCATACTATTTAATCCTCAGAAAACCCCTAATAATGTAAGTGTTATTATTTCCACTTAACATATGAACAACTGAGGCACAAATGGATTCAATAACTTGCTAAAAGCCACACATCTTAGCAGGGGAAGAACCTGAATTCGAACCTAGGTTTATAGAACTCCAAAGCCTATGATGTCACCACTACATATATTTATTTTGCAATATCACGATGACAGGGGTTCCAAATGAAAAGCTAGAGACTATTGGTTTGAACAGCAAAGTGTTTGGGATTTTCAATCAATTGTATTTGATCTATATTTCCAATAACAACAGATAGACATCCCTTCTCTCTCTGACATTGAAATTGGGAAGTATTCTCCATCTTTTTTACTGAGGCCATAATAAAATTCAACTAGTAAGTATTTTTCCAGAGGCATTTTAACTGATTAATTTTGAAGACCTAATTTAACAGCAGATCAATTAGAATGTTAAAGCATGTTTGAGGAATATAACCCTCCTGCCAAATTTTGCTCAACAGATCATTTAAACCCAATGACACATTCAGAGTATTCTGGTAGCTTTCCAACATTTCTGCAGAGCAAGGATCATCACATGAGGTTAGTGTTTTAGCAGGCTTCTCTTGTAGGTTTTGTTTTAGACCCAGCATAAAGGTTTGTGTGTACATCTGAGGTGTTCCCATTCATCTAGCAGTGGTTTCTGGTGCTTTGTTTATGTTTGGGAGTAATTTGGTTAGTTGAGTTCCTTCACAGCCTCCTTTCAAGTGGTATTTGTTTATCAGCCACAAATGCAGTCACATTAATCCATTTTGATAAGCTAAATAAACCCCTGCAGTTCCTCCATGATGTAGCCCATATGTAAATGAGTTGTATATTCTTGCAGGAGAGACATGCACAATTTCAGTCTAGTCATCCTTGCCTAATGTGGCTGTCAGGTGTGTCAAGAGCAACAGATGCTTGTTTGACAAAGGACCTTTTTATTTTGGCTAATTAAGCAGTTGGACACACCCGCCTGTTAACGGTTCTGCTTTGTACAGCTAGCTCTGGCTGAATCATGTGAATCTACAGCTAAATAGGCCACATTTTGAACGAAGGCTAATTAACCCCTAGGAAAAGGAAAAGAATATTGAAAAAACCCAGCTGCTGAATGCCACAAGATTAGCATTTCTTCAACCTGATGGGCCAAACTTTGGCCAAGCAAATGTGTTTGGAACAAACACGCATTATTGCAAGTTTCAAGGCATTCAAATATTCTTTGTGGAACTTCCTGAAGATTATTTAATACACTCAAATTCACAGTTGGATTCCTTTTATCACACACAAAGTACATGCCAGATTAAATGGTTTAATAGTCTGACCTAATCAATTACTTATCAAACAGAACTAACTATATACTGCTAGCTTAAAAATAAGTAGTATCCACTTAATTTTTTATTGGGGGTTTTCATCCTGAAATAATTTGCTCTCCAAAAAAGCAAAGTCTGTTTCTACTACACCAACTATCTTTTTTTATTTTATTTTTTGCACTGAGGAATGTAACAGGTTTTCATTCAGTATAGAAAATAAAGACTTGTAATTTAATTTTTAAGCGCAACAAAGAGTTTCCTTTCTTTTTCCTTTGTACAGAAAAATAATTATACTAATTCCAATTCCTTCTTGAAACACATTAACCAAAATTATGATAATAGTCATTTAGTAGGTGTAGTAAAAGTAAATCACACCTAAAACATAATATTCAAGAATAAATTATTTACTTAGAAACCTGTTTCATCGTAAGAACACAGGAATGTGATTTACAGAAAAAAATTTGATATAATTTAAAATTACTATTTTTGAAATAGAACAAGGAGTTTAACATTGATGTGCTTTTACACAGAGGCAGATACCAAATCATAACTGAAGTTTTGCAGCATAAAATTCTTATTAAAACTGGTTAAGCATCAGCATTCTTAAATAAATGTTAGAAAATGATATTAATATACATAATGCCTAAAGCAATTGAAAATTAAAATGAGCCATGATTTGGGCAGGTGGGGTGGAGTTGCTAGTATACACTTTCCTAAACATAAAATTAATATAAAATGTATACATTTCTGACTATTCTGGAGTAGATGATAACAAAATATTAAGATTATCCTAATTCTTAAAAAAAAAAACACACTAAAAATATTAAGGAACTTTAAAAGTTAATATACTATAAAATAATAGGGTATTATAGAAATGTCATATATATAGTTAAATAATCGTATGATAAATTTAATTTTGTTAAACTTTGTCAAAAATATATTGAGCTGATTAATTTATCTACAAATGTAAAAGACCAAGACTTGTTTTCTTCCCCCACTTCACCTCATACAAATGAAACAATATGATTAAGCTATAGATTGTAGTCAGACTTTTTTACTTAAAATAGACCTCTGAGAAAAGTTGATTCGTTGTGAAAACACAGGGCTTTATCAAGACAATAAATCATGTAATTGAAGGATATGAAAAGAAAAGCCGTGATTTTCTATATTATAAAAGTTCTGCCTCTTTATTTAGATCTGGTATTGTAATCCTCATAACTGTATACAGTTATTCTTTTGTACTAGATTGAATGGTAGAAAAATGATGGAATGATAATAGTGTAGATTGTTCAGCAGTCATTTTCCTGTGATAACTGATGATAGTGATTAATGCTGGTGATGATTAATCAGTACAATGGAAACATCTACAAGTTGCCTGGGTAACTTTTTTCACTCTTCAAACAAAGGTTTTCCCTTAACTAATTCTTAACTTGACTCAGAATATAGTATAAAAATCTGTTTCTTTGGAGAAGAAAAATTAAAAAAAAAAATTACTTATTAACATATTATTGAAACGAAACTGCTGAAGTGATATAAGAATTATTTTATTTATTTATTTCTACCTATCAAGAGACGCCGTTATCAGGCTCAGAGGTAACTTTGGGGAAAAGAGAACCAAGTGTTTGTCCAGTATACTGCTGGTGCCATCCAGCATTTTCTCTCACTCGTGTTCATGAATTAATAGTCGAATCAGTCTTAACCTTGATGACATATGCTAAAAAATGGCAGTGCTCAGGTAACAGCTTCAAACAAAACTCGTAAGTATCCTAGTGGAAGGATGGTCTGGGAACAAAATGATATGATATCACAAAGATCCTTAAGTAAAATCTATGAGACCAAGCTATAAATGTTTCTCCCTATTGGTCAATCCACTCCTGAGAGTTATTAGAAACTATTGGATGGCGCATTTAATGATAATAGCACTTACAACCAAAAGATGATGAACAATGGACATTTTATCATAAACCTATCATCTTCACTAGAGATATTAATAAGAATGCCCACAATCTGTTGAGCACTTACAATGTGACAGATATTTTGCATGCATTTAACTTGAATTTCACCTATGAAGTAGATATTCCCATTTTATAGTAGAGAAAAGTAAGGTTTAGAGATTAAGTAACTTGCCCAGGATTACAGAACTATTAAGATACAAAGCCAGGATTCAAGTCTAGGTCTAACTCCAATAATGACACCCTGTCATTGGACCCTCATCGGCTACACAGAGAGCAGCAGTGAGGCTACTTTAGCTAAGTCAACTTTAAAGGAGTTCAAGTGGTGTATAGAGACTTGGAGCACTAAGAAAGAATTCTAAATTTGAGCAAATACACACATGTGCTGTACTACACCTAATATGTGATCAATATACTCTTTTGAAGTCATCAAGTCTACAATTTTTATGGTATGGAAGAGCATATCATGAATTAAAAGATACCTGTACTAACTTTATGCTCACAAAATATTTTATAGACAAAAGAGGAAATAATAGGCTCATTTACTTTCAAAAAATTAAATTTGTCTTATAAAAGTCAAACAAGAGCCCAGTAAAATGAGTGTGCAT